TGCCTTTTCTCAGAGCTCATGGAAGGAAGCCTTATCATCTGTGGGGTTCATGTGGAAATTAATCATCTGCTCTCTGGCCATCTCTTGAATGACTGTAACAAAAAGTCATTAAACCACAGCATACAAGCACTTCCAGGACATAGATTATATCCTGGAGCCCTAGGGCATTTATCACAATACCTTGGCTACTGAAGAATCTTAACAAAATGTGGATGATGAGTAAGAACACAATCATCCTGAACAGAAATTTTCCAAGTTTCAGACTGCCAGCTGCTGAGACACTAAGGCCATGCAGTGGGGTGGAAATGCCTCAGAAGCAGGAGTGAGATCTTGCCCTCAGCTCGGCCCCACTCCCGCTGCGAGGCTCGGGTCAGCGCTGTCTTTTTGGGGAATTCACTCTCCTCACCTACAGCAACAAGGGCTGGACCACTCCACTGCGCCTTTCCGCTCGGAATCCCTGATTCTGTGCAACTTCGGCAGATTTGGAAGGAACCGGGGAGAAGGAAGTATATGTTCTATGAGGTCATCCCAGAAAAGAAGAGAGAGACCCCAAAACGTGAAGGCAAACCGTCTAATAGCCTCTGATAAGGAGCAGGGGAGGAGACTGACAACCATAGATGCCAGCAAAGAGGGTGAGGAGGTGGCCTCAAGGCTAATCCCATCCCAGTCCTTTCCAAAGATTCCCAGCAATGTCATCTTGGGTCCCCACCCCCCTCCCAAAAAGTCTGGCCCCAGGGGAATGCCTTTTTTTTTTCACAGTATCTTTTTTTTTTTAATTAAAGTACAGTCAGTTACAGTGGAGAATGCCTTTGTTAGATTAAAAATAGTAAAAATGTACATGCATGACTGGGACATTATGCTGTGTACCCAAAACTGACACATTGTTACTGACTGTACTTCAATTTTAAAAAATAATAATAAAGAGAAGACAAAAAAATGTTTCCCTGCGAGCCATCAGTGTGTAAGGGAAGTCTCTTTGTCCTGTCCGTCCTAATCCATATGAATAGATATCCAAGGACAAAGGTGAAGTTCACCTAGCAGTGCCAGAACTTGTGGTCTGGAGGGGTCCAAGCAGGAACTCGGGGGGTGTGTTGCAATATCCTCTCACAGTGGGGTATGTACAGCCCAAAGTGTCAACTGCCCCTGGATTTCCTCATACTGGGGATTTCTATTAATATCCAGGTCTTCCATCTCAGTTGTAAAAAGATGCATGAAACATATTCTAGCTTGTTTGTGGACAATTCTGATGGCCTCAGGTGAAGTTCTGCCCCACTCATTAGCAGGACGGCAGAGAGTGGCCAAGGGTTGCTTCCTTTTCCACAGGACAGGCCTTTAGAGACTTGAAGTACATACGTCACGGCCCTTAAGGGCATGGCCTCGTGAGAATTTTCTCATCCAGGCCAAGCGTCTTCGAGTGGTTCTACGACACAGCCCCTGGCCACCCGCTGCCTCTGTCCCCTCCTTTGCGCACATGTTCCTTGGCTGTCTTTATCATCGTCTCTTAATAAGGAAAACTCACTGCCAGTGAAGCTCGAATAGTTCTGCAGTGGTTCTTGGAAACTATGGCCCTTATCTGAGTGTCTTCTGAATTCCCTCACTCAGCACTTCATAATCCCAAACTCGCAGCGATATTCGGGAAGAAGAAGAGAGTGGGGACAGAAGGCGAGGGGCAGGTATCTGGGCACGGCAAGAACGCAGGGCAGCTCTCAGAAGCTGGGCCACAGCGGACCTGGGACCAGGACTCAGAGATCTAGAGCATCCTTAACCCCAGTTTGCCCACAGATGGATCATGTGAGCTTCAGACTCAGCTTCCCTCTATGGGGGAAAGGCGGTTTGGACCTAATGATCTCTGAAGATATTTCTAGGTCTGACATTTGATACCATTTCGATGTCTTCTGCAGCCTTCTGCTAGACTGGGTGCTCTCCTACAAACACAAACATGGACTAAGGGACCCAAGGACTTGTAGATAAAGAGTGAGTTCAAATGTGTTAGAAGAAATGGCAATTCTTAGATGGACTTGGCCAATTTGCCCAGCTGCAAGACTGGTGGATCTTCTTTTACTCAAGGGAACTGCTATGTACATTATCAAAATGATGAATTTTAATGAGCGCTATTCAAAGTAAGCAGTGCACGAATGGGTTCTTACTAGTCTACAGCAGTGAGCCCAGAAATGGAGAGTCAGCCTCAGGAACCTTTGAGAACTCTGGCACTGCCTGACCATTCTCGTGCTGTTTTCTGCTATAGCAATTCACTTTTGCTGCATATTGCAAAAGTATCAGTTTGCAACGCATAGGAAACAAAACAAAACTAAACTGGTTCTTCACTATAGATTGAAAAGTGGTAATTTAACTACTGTCTTTTTTGTCTTTACCCATTAAGAAAGAGAGTGAGAGAGAGAGAGAGGGAGGAGGGGAGAGAGAAAGAAAGAAAGAAAAAAAGAACGAAAGAAAGAGCGAAAGAGCGAAAGAAAGAAAGAAAGGAAGGAAGGAAGGAAGGGAAAGAGAGGCAGGCAACGCAGGAGCACACTCTGAGTGAGAATTCACTGAAAGTCACCTAGACAATATCAATTTAATTTTCACTGCTTCTATTATAGATGCCTGTCTCCCTTCCTTCCTCCCTTCCTCCCTCCCTTCCTTCCCCCTTTCCTCCCTTCCTTCCTCCATTCCTTCCTTCTTTCCTTCCTTCCTCCCTCCCATCCTTCCTCTTTCCTCCCTTCCTTCCTTCTTTCCTTCCTTCCACCCTTCCTTCATTTCTCCCTCCCTCTTTCCCTCCCTCCATTTTTTTTTTTTAAGTTGCAAAGCAAGTATTTCTCTGCAAACTTCCACAGGTTTCTCTCTGCACGCAGGAGAGCTGATTCAGCCAGAACGCTGTCACCCCTAGCTTCATCAGGAGGTAACACGTTCCTGGTGGGGCTCACCCAGGGCACATGACTTTCCAGCCTGCAAACAAACAGGCCCTGGCGTGAGCGGTCACAGCACTGGCACATGGCAGCTCACAGTCACTCTGGGCGCTCAATCCCGTGACTCAGAAAAGAGGAGGCCGTGGGAGCCTGCCAGCTCTGTCTGCTGATTGTGAGCTATCTGGGACCTGGGGCCCCACCACCCCAGCACAGCGTACCGCTGCAAAGGGCAGCTGACCTCGGTCCTGACCCAATCATACTCAGCAGTTTTCTCCCAAGGCTTTAGGAAAGCCACCCTGCCTGTCACCCCTGTCCTTTGACTCTGCCTCTTATTGCTCCTTGGACTTAAAAATACCCCCCTTCAGTGGGAGCTCTGTAGTCAATAGACCTGGATTTGAATCCAAGCTCTCCAATTATCAGCTAAATCTCTTCCCTGTTCTGAATCCTGGATTTCCTTCAGCAAAACAGAGCTGAGAGTACCCACCTTCCCGGTACTTGGTAGGTGCTGAATAGACAATTGTTGCAAGAATGAATGAATGAATGAATGAATGAATGAAAGGATGGACGAATGACTTTTAGCTACTCGTGGCCCTGTGCCCTCCCCTACGCCCACTCTGCCTGGGCATACCAGTAACTCCTGGGAGTCCAGCTCAGCAGAGCACACACTGCATTAAGCTCAGAAGACTTACAGTCCTGATTTAACCGAATGGCTTTCCTGATCCATGATCTTGGCCAAGTCATTTCACTCTCTAAGGCTCTCTGTTTCCCCATCAGTCAAGCGCAAATGCTAACTCAGTCCTGTCCTCCTCACCGAATCCTGTCAAAGCCCAAAGGACAGCAGAGATGAAGGTGCATCATGACCTGGAAGGAACTGGCCACACACCAAGGCTTCTTCCCACACTGGCTGCTCCTGACTCTGAGCCAAGGTGAGAGGGTCCAGGAGCCCGCCTGGTGCCAGGAGGCTGAGCTGACGTGCTTTCTGGCCTGGTGCCAGGCCTGACATCCTCCTGCCAGCATTGCCATTCCTTTGCGCATAGGTATTTTGTCTGTGCATGGGAGGCCCTTGCTCTTTTGAGAGAGACATAAAGAGAAGAGTCAGCAGAAAACCTGCAGAGGTCGGCAAATGTGCTCGAGCCATCAGCAAGTCCAGGGTCCTGCGAGGTGGACAGAATAGAAAAGTTCACTGTGAACCTGGGGAGCCAGGAAAGCGGATGCGGACTGTCTCGCCGGCTTAGAACTGGTTCTTCTGGGTCCCACATCAAACACAGGCCACCCATGGGTTCGCCTTTGGGCTTTTCTTTGGGGTTGCTGGTTTCTCTGCCTTGAGCATCCTCCATTCTCCCCTAAATCAATCTGGGATGTCCAAACTGTAACTAAGCTTTCCCCCAAAGAGTCAAGCAGCAAGTCAGCTGCTTCTCTTTGACCTCCTATGGCACCCCCTACACCCAGCACACACTACCTTACATTGTACAAGAACGACAGATACACTTATTGAGGGTGAATGATCTGCCAGCCCCAAGAAGACATGTGCTTGACGTACCCTCTCTCAGTCTGAGAAGCAGCTTGACAAAGTAGGTACCTTGACAAGTCCCATTTTACGGATGAGGGAATAGCTTGTAAGAGGTCACAAAGTGAGGCAATGGGATTGCTGAGATCCGGACCCAGCACTGCCTGACCCCAGCCCATGCCAGCTTTAGCGGCACTGCCTGAAGAACGTTCTGTCATGATGGGAGTGTTTATATGGCTCTGTCCGGTACGGTAGCCAGTAGCACCAGGTGGCTACTGAGTTCCTGAAATGTGGCTAGTGTGACCCAGTAACTGGATTTGAACCTGTATTTCATCTCGGCTCTAACTTTACCACAGCTATTTGCACTCAGCCCAGGTCATCCAGTTTAGCCTCAGCTTTCTGAGAAGACAGGGTCCTGAGTTTTCCCTCTTAGCCCACAGGAGGCTCTCAATACACATTTTTGTAATGGACTAAACTTGCTTAGGTCCCCGTGATTCCTTGGTGCAGCTGTGTGAACCGGATTATTCCGGGAGCCCCACTGGGCGTCAGGTGCGCAGGGATGGAAGTGGGAGGAGTTGGGCTCCCTTACTTACCTGTGCGGAGAGTCGGGATCGAAGCAGGTCTTGGTGACGTCAGTGATGTCGGGGTCGCAGCACTCCCCGCCGTCGAAGTTGAACCGCTCGTAATTGCAGTCCAGGTCGCACACCCCGTTCTGCTGCTTCTTCATGAAGGCGGGGTAGCGCAGGTGGCGGCAGTCCCCGCCGTCGTGGCCGGTTAGCGTGTGGTTGCACTCCGGGTCGCAGTTCTCGTCCCCGATCTTGCTGATGTCGCAGTTGGCCAGGATGAGGCGGTGGCGCAGGGACGAGTTGCTCACCTCGAGCACCTCCAGCTCCCAGGAGATGTTGTAGTGCTTGAAGGCCTCGGCCAGCTGCCGGTGCTGGAAGTCGATCTGCTGGCGGCTGACGGTGGGGTTCTCGCCGCCGTCGTCACGGAGGTTGACCACGCGGTAGCGCACCGCCTTGGGCCTGCGGAACCGCGGGAGCTGGTTGTAGCTGGCGATGACCTTGGCGTTGTCACACAACGTCTGCCCGCACAGCGGAGGCTCCAAACTCGTGTCCAGCAGGAAGCCGGGGGCGCCGCTGAGCTCCACGCGGGGGCTGCTCCCGTTCTTCATGGGGGACCAGGCGCGCTTCACATCCTCCCAGTTCTCCTGGAGGAGGAGCTGAGGTAGAGGAGTGTGCAGGCCGTGGGTTTCCATGTCCATCAGGACCTCCCGCTGCGTCCTGGCCACCTTCCATAGGCTGAAGCGCTCCATATAGCCCCGGTAGTTGTGATTCAGGGTGCTGCCTCCCAGCATGAGGACTTTACACTTCTCCGTCAGTGGGCTGAAAATGCCACCCACCTGCTCCCCAGAGGTTGCCACCTGGGCACCATTCACATAGAGCTTCATCAGACGTCCATCGTAGGTGGCAGCCAGGTAGACCCACTGGCCTGGAAGGTAGCTGTGGTGGGCATTGATGGTGGTCACTTGCCGGGCCCGGTCTGTCTTCAAGGAGAAAAAGTAGCGTGGGTCTCTGTTGCCTTGGTCACTGACGGTGTGAATGCCCACGACCCATCCTCGGTCACGTGAGGCATAAGAACATTTGTCATATAGCCCTATGTGGCCCCAAAAGAGAAAGATGAGTCAATAAAGGATGGAAGAGGGAGAGGGGTAAGTTATTTCTCTCTGATAAAATTTATATCAGGATGTTCTAGACCAGGAATTTTCAAACTGTCCTCTATGGGATCCTGGCAGTTACTAACAGAGCCTCTGGGACCAACCCTATGGCAGGGCAAGGGCTAGAGGAATGGAGAACACAGCTCAGTTGCCTTTGGGAGGTTCTCGTCACAATTTCAACCCAAATGGTTTCACTTTTATTGATTTTTGAGTATGGGGCATAAAAGACATTTGAGAGGGGAGGATATAGCTCAGTGGTCTATTGCATGCTTGGCATGCATGAGGTCCTGGGTTCAATCCTTGGTACCTCCATTAAAAAAAATTAAATATCTAATATCTAATTACCCCCCCAAAAAAAACTAACTAAATAAATAACAACAACAACAACAAAAAACCAAGAAAGACATTTGTTTGCAGAATGGGTGCTTGAGCTAAAGAAAACCACAGCAAGAATAATAATTAAAATCTGTAAACCTTTGATTTTGCCAAACTGCTGAATGAGGAAGAGGACCTTCTCATTAAGAGCATAATATAAGTGTAGGACGACATCGGTGGTGAGAGGAGGAGGTGAGAGAGGAAAAGGGAGGTGATAATGAATAGAAGATGCTCATTTTGAAGGACAGCCCTGACTCCAGCCACCATAGCATCAGCCCCCAGAACTCATCAGTGAGCAGTGGTGGAGAGCTGTCGGGAAAACTGCCTGGAGAAGTGAGGGCCAAGGGCTGCAAAGCTCGCAGTAATGCTTCTGACCGTAACAGGGGTCCTGGCTAGCCCTGACATCACCCCCAAAGAAAGGCAGACACACTCACTATCTGAGCTGGAAGGGCTTAAAGATGGCCACCTCCAATTCCTTCACTTGAAAGGTGAGGAAGTTGAGACCCAGGGAAGGGAAGGCATTCGTCAGGTTACAGAGGGTCGGCGACACATTTCCTGAGACCCAGTTTAGCTTGTTATTCTCTTAACACTAATGCTCATACTAAAAATAATAATAATAATAATAATAATAATAATAATAATAATAATAATAATAATAATAAAAGCATCCTCTTAACAATAAAAAGATGTTGGGGGCTCCTTCATTAAGTTAGATTTTCCAAGCCGCTGTGCCAGGTCAGGCATTGTGCTATGGTCTGTGAATGTGTTAATTCCTTTAATCTACAGGAGCACCCCCAAGGTGGTGATACTAAGTTAACAGAAGAGGAAACAGAAATTGATGGAGGTAAAGAGAAGGATGGGTTTAAGGTCAACTGGTTGGCTAAGTGGATCCTAGATCCATCAGACCCTGGGATTCACTGTCCTATGTACTAACTCTAGGGAAACCTCCATCTCCCTCATCAGTGCTACCAGCGATCTGTCTGGATCAAATCACCTGCCTGGGGCTGTCCCTTTTAGCTGAGTGTTTGGGAAAGTTCCAAGCTCCATGTCTCTAGACTTACTCTGGGAACCCTAGGAAGTTGCTAAGCAGATTCTCTCTGGATCTAATTATCTTTATACTCACCAACCCCATTCTCATCCTTTCTGGAATATACCCAGTGTCCTTGGCACAGACAGGCTGTTGGATGGGGAAGAGGCCTTTCTAATTAAGAGTGTATTTTAAGTGTCAGATGATGTATGAGACCAGGTGGGAGGAGGAAGAGAGGGAAACAAGAATGAATAAAAGATGCTTATTTAGAAGGACAGTCCCTGCTCTCAGCTGAAGAATCGTTGCGGTCACCATAACTTTGAGTGTGTGTCTGCCATGAGCACTCATCAAATGAGCATGGAGAGCGTCCAGTAAAATCAATAGAGGAAGCCTACACATTCTGTCCCCCTTTGTGGGCAACGGGGCCTCAGAATTTGTGTGCATCTCTTTGTTAGCAGCTGACGTGGATGGTAGCTTTGGCCAAGCCCCTAGGTCCGCCTACACCTCTCCTACCACTTCCTGTCCCACAGTCCTTCAGGTAACGGCCAGAGCCCCCTGCAAAGGCAACCTGCTCTCACACCTTGATGAAGCACCGAGTGCCTCCTCTGGGTCTTGGCTCTTTACCTGGCAAGGGAGGGGACTGGATGAGGTTGCTCTCGTGTGCTTGGTCCAAGTCTGATTTTCTGTGTCCCCAGACTTCCCAACGGCTAAAACAGAGCCGCCTCTCCCAAGAAGCTCCCCGACAGCCCTGTGAGGAATAATCGTTCTCTTCTCTGAATGCATCTTACTTTCGGGAAACAAGACACATGCTCTCTGGTTTTGGGGTCCCCCCCTAAACTGGATGCTTCTTGAGTGATGCCTCTGTCTAGGTCACCTGTACGCTGTCAAGCACCTTGCACTATGCCTGGTACACAGCAGGCACTCAGCTTACACTTACGTCTCATGAAGGAGCACATGAATGATTCTAAATAGAGTGGGAGAAGAGGAAAGGACAAACCGAGTCAAAGGCACTAATTTACGTCTCCCTGGCTGAAAGACAGAGAGAGTCAGAAGACAGAGTGTGCCCTTGCTCAGGTAGAAAGAGCAGAATCTTTGGACTTGGGGTAATTCTGATGACAGCTATTCCTGGCCATACATCTCGGGCAAATCACTTCATCTCGTGGATCTTAATTCCCTCATCTGTAGCTCTCTTTACATATGTTGTCATACTTAAAAGGCACAGTGGATGTGCCATCCTTGGCATACAGCGGCTGTCTGAATGGGAGTTCATTTTTAAGATGCTGGAGGGTCTGGGAGTGATGTCAAGGATGAAAAGCGGAAAATGACTAAAAACAAAATACAGAAATGCCAGAGAGAGAGGGGACCCTAAAGGCATCTTGACGGATGTATCAAGAGCTAGTAGGATGAGGGCTTGAAAAAGCACAAGTCCTCCCCAACTCTACTGTCAGACCATACTTAGAGATCATAAATCCCCTTTGGCTTCGCTACTATTATGAGACTTGCATGTTAAAAGCTGCCTCCGCACTGACCTCTCCAGGGCCAAAGCTCTGACTCCAGATTTGGAATGAGTTACCCTGGATCTGCTGCTGCTGGCTACGGACGGGAGCCATCAGAACACAGATCCCGCCCTTGTGCCCAGGAGCCCACCGCTTGGCTCACCTTCTCTTCCTCCCCCGGTGAACCCCTACCCCTTGAACAGAAAATTCTTCTAATGAGAAAATTAACATCTGAAACAGGATCCTTCCTCCCTGTCTCTCTCTCTCTCTCTCTCTCTGTGCAGGTTTTTATTTTGCCAGAGGCTCTCAGTCCTGGTTTTCCTGTTGCCTTTGGAAGGCGGCTGGCTGGGTGAGCAAGGTAAAATGTTTACACATCTGTAGGATGCCCTCAGTTCAGAACCTTCCCGGGGCTCAGGACCCAGGCTCCAGCCACCTCTGTCTGCAGCTGTGAGAGGAGAGGGAAGCAGTGAGAAAGGCCAGACTCCACGACACAGAGTGGAGGACTAAGAGGTGGCTTGGCCCCAGGAGGCAGGGAGGAAGGGCACAGAGGGGGTTTTCAGTGGGACCAAGAGGAAACACATTAAGGGAAATGAGAACCTTGAAGCAGTGGCCTCAGAAGTTCAGAGGGAAATATTTACCTGGAGTGTTAGTGGTGAAAGGAAATCACGGCACTTCAATAGGGACGGGGTGAGGTGGAGTGGGGGGGTGTGGCGGTGATGGGGATTTATTTCTGTGTGAAAATAACGTAATCAACAGTAGTCACATTTCAGGGGGCTGGGAGGGAGGGACCGCTGTACCACCAGCCCAGAACCAGGGATCTGGAACCAGAGATGTGGGTTCAGCCTGCTCGATGACCTTGCCGGGGACAAGTCACACCACCTCTTATGCTGCCGGGCCTCATTTTCCTTTTCCGAAAAAGGAGGGGTTAGGATTAAATGATCCCCCGCTACAATTTAAGGGCTCTTTTGTTCACTGTTAGAATGGCTCCTTGTAAGTAGGAGATGCTTCAACATTACATACTGATTTGAATTGGATGCCTCATGTCACACCTAATTCCTGCATGCTTAGAGGATCTGTCCTCTGTGTATCTACACATCGGACATGGAACAGTGTTCTCTGAGGACACAGGTGTACCCCACCACACCTCCATCCCGGCCGGCCCCATGGTTCTCCAGGAAGACAGAGATGGAGCGAAAGAAGCAGTGAGACTTGGTCTGAAGTTGGCACATCTGTGTGGTACCAGAGGTCCATCACAGGGGACACATCCCTGCTGGGCAGGATAGAAGGCCAGAGGCAATCCTGCAACCAGTCTACATCTGACTAGCCTAAACCTGCCTCAAAGCAAGAAGCACCGGAAGCAGATAGTGAAGGTGCCAGAGCCCACTGACAAGCCTACGAGGTGTCCCAGAGCAAGTGCGTGGATGAGAAGCAGAGCCCAGGGTAGTCAGCATCTAACAAGCCCGTCTTCCTGCAGCTAGACTTGTTGTGAAAAGGGCTTCAGGTCCCCCAGAGGCTTGATATTGTTTTTATTGCCTCTGTTTTCTCTCATCTCACCCCAGGGATGAAAAGCATGGAAGAAGGAGGCGAGTCCAAAGGTAGAAGGCTGGAAGGTAGTCTAACACCTACACGAGGGCCGTAGTGGGAGAATTCACTGGGCTCTGGGGTCCCCTCTCAGGGCCACTGTACCCGCCCTACCCCGGGGCAGAGTTGTGTGGCCACGCCAGTCCACCCCAGGTACAGACAAGTCTTCCTCCCACACGTTCACCATACTCCTCCCTGTCTGCAAACTCCCCACTTTTGTAATTACTCCTCGTCTGTTTCCCCAAGTCATATGTCTGTTGGATTCCTTTCTAAATGCCCCGCATCGAACACAGCATCTGTTACCTTGCAGGTGCTCCATAAAGTTTGTCATTGGAAGCATAAAATAAAGGGAGGAAGAGGGGAGGGGCATTTCCTTACTGCTACGTTCTTTATACGACCACACTACCCTTTATTTAGAACTTACTAAGTGCCATGTGCTCTACATGAATTCTCTTACTTA